AGCAGGGGTGGCCATCCTCATATCGAATAAAATCGACTTCAAGACTAAGTTAATCATAAGGGATAAGGAAGGACATTATATATTGTTAAAAGGAACCATTCACCAACAAGACATAACAATTATCAATATTTATGCACCAAATAATGGTGCTGCGATGTTCATAAAACAAATTCTCCTCAAGTTCAAGAATCAAATAGATCACAACACAATAATTATGGGTGACTTCAACACACCTCTCTCACCATTGGACAGATCCTCCAAACAAAAGTTGAATAAAGAAACTATAGAGCTCAATATCACAATCAATAACCTAGACTTAACTGACATAGATAGAATATATCAACCATCATCAAGTGGATATACTTTTTTCTCATCAGCACATGGATCCTTCTCAAAAATAGACCATATATTATGCCATAGGGCAACCTTCAGTAAATATAAAGGGGTGGAGATAATACCATGCATCTTATCTGATCATAATGGAATGAAACTGGAAATCAATGATAAAAGACGGAAGGAAAAATCCTACATTACATGGAAAATGAACAATATGTTACTGAATGATCAATGGGTTACAGAAGACATAAAGGAGGAAATCAAAAAATTCTTAGAGATAAATGAAAATACAGACACAACATATTGGAATCTATGGGACACAATGAAAGCAGTTTTAAGAGGGAAATTCATCGCCTGGAGGTCATTCCTCAAAAAAGGAAAAACCAACAAATAAATGAGCTCACACTTCATCTCAAAGCCCTAGAAAAGGAAGAGCAAAACAACAGCAAATGTAGCAGAAGGCAAGAAATAATTAAAATCAGAGCAGAAATCAACGAAATTGAAACAAAAGAAACTATTGAAAAAATTAACAAAACTAAAAGTTGATTCTTCGAAAAAATAAATAAGATCGACAGACCCTTAGCCATGCTAACGAAGAGAAGAGAGAGAACTCAAATTACTAACATACGGGATGAAAAAGGCAATATCACAACAGATGCTACAGAAATACAGAAGACAATTAGAAATTATTTTGAAAACCTATATTCCAATAAAATAGAAGATAGTGAAGACATCGATAAATTTCTTAAGTCATATGATTTGCCCAGACTGAGTCAGGAGGACACACACAATTTGAACAGACCAATATCAATGGATGAAATAGAAGAAGCAATCAAAAGACTACCAACCAAGAAAAGCCCAGGACCGGATGGGTATACAGCAGAGTTTTACAAAACCTTTAAAGAAGAATTAATACCAATACTTTTCAAGTTATTTCAGGAAATAGAAAAAGAGGGAGCTCTGCCAAATTCATTCTATGAGGCCAACATCACCCTGATTCCAAAACCAGACAAAGACACCTCAAAGAAAGAAAACTACAGACCAATATCTCTGATGAACCTAGATGCAAAAATCCTCAACAAAATTCTGGCGAATCAGATACAAAAACACATCAAAAAAATTGTGCACCATGATCAAGTAGGATTCATACCTGGGATGCAAGGATGGTTCAATATACGGAAATTAATAAATGTTATTCACCACATCAATAGACTTAAAGATAAGAACCATATGATCATCTCGATAGACGCAGAAAAAGCATTCGACAAAGTACAGCATCCCCTTATGTTCAAAACATTAGAAAAACTAGGGATAACAGGAACTTACCTCGACATAGTAAAAGCAATCTATGCTAAGCCTCAGGCTAGCATCATTCTGAATGGAGAAAAATTGAAGGCATTCCCTCTAAAATCTGGAACAAGACAGGGATGCCCTCTATCACCACTTCTATTCAATATAGTTCTCAAAACACTGGCCAGAGCAATTAGACAGACAAAAGAAATTAAAGGCATAAAAATAGTTAAAGAAGAACTTAAATTATCACTATTTTCGGATGACATGATTCTATACCTAGAAGACCCAAAAGGGTCTACAAAAAAACTACTAGAACTAATAAATGAATTCAGCAAAGTGGCAGGATATAAAATCAACACGCATAAATCAAAGGCATTTCTGTATATCAGTGACAAAACTTCTGAAACGGAAATGAGGAAAAACACTCCATTCACAATATCCTCAAAAAAAATAAAATACTTGGGAATCAACCTAACAAAAGAGGTGAAAGATTTATACAATGAAAACTACAGAACCCTAAAAAGAGAAGTAGAAGAAGATCTTAGAAGATGGAAAAATATACCCTGTTCATGGATAGGCAGAACTAACATCATCAAAATGGCGATATTACCAAAAGTTCTTTATAGGTTTAATGCAATGCCAATCAAAATCCCAACGGCATTTCTTGTAGAAATAGAGAAAGCAATCATGAAATTCATATGGAAAAATAAAAGACCCAGAATAGCAAAAGCAATTCTAAGCAGGAAGTATGAATCAGGCGGTATAGCGATACCAGATTTCAAACTATATTACAGAGCAATAGTAACAAAAACAGCATGGTACTGGTACCAAAACAGGCGGGTGGACCAATGGCACAGAATAGAGGACACAGAGACTAATCCACAAAGCTACAACTATCTTATATTTGATAAAGGAGCTAAAAGCATGCAATGGAGGAAGGATAGCATCTTCAACAAATGGTGTTGGGAAAACTGGAAAATCATATGCAACAAAATGAAACTAAATCCCCTCCTCTCGCCATGCACAAAAGTTAACTCAAAGTGGATCAAGGAGCTAGATATCAAATCAGAGACTCTGCGTCTGATAGAATAAAAAGTTGGCTCCGATCTACATATTGTGGGGTCGGGCTCCAAATTCCTTAATAGGACACCCATAGCACAAGAGTTAATAACAAGAATCAACAAATGGGACTTACTTAAACTGAAAAGTTTTTTCTCAGAAGGAGAAACAATAAGAGAGGTAAATAGGGAGCCTACATCATGGGAACAAATTTTTACTCCTCACACTTCAGATAGAGCCCTAATATCCAGAGTATACAAAGAACTCAAAAAATTAGACAATAAGAGAACAAATAACCCAATCAACAAATGGGCCAAGGACCTGAACAGACACTTCTCAGAGGAGGACATACAATCAATCAACAAGTACATGAAAAAATGCTCACCATCTCTAGCAGTCAGAGAAATGCAAATCAAAACCACCCTAAGATACCATCTCACTCCAGTAAGATTGGCAGCCATTATGAAGTCAAACAACAACAAGTGCTGGCGAGGATGTGGGGAAAAGGGTACTCTTGTACATTGCTGGTGGGACTGCAAATTGGTGTGGCCAATTTGGAAAGCAGTATGGAGATTCCTGGGAAAGCTGGGAATGGAACCATTTGACCCAGCTATTGCCCTTCTCGGACTATTCCCTGAAGACCTTAAAAGAGCGTACTACAGGGATACTGCCACATCGATGTTCATAGCAGCACAATTCACAATTGCTAGACTGTGGAACCAACCCAGATGCCCTTCAATAGATGAATGATAAAAAAAAATGTGGCATTTATACACCATGGAGTATTACGCAGCACTAAAAAATGACAAAATCATGGAATTTGCAGAGAAATGGATGGCACTAGAGCAGATTATGCTTAGTGAAGCTAGTCAATCCCTAAAAAACAAATACCAAATGTCTTCTTTGATATAATGAGAGCAACTAAGAACAGAGCAGGGAGGAAGAGCAGGAAGAAAAGATTAACATTAAACAGAGACATGAGGTGGGAGGGAAAGGGAGAGAAAAGGGAAATTGCATGGTAATGGAGGGAGACCTTCATTGTTATACAAAATTACATATAAGAGGTTGTGAGGGGAATGGGAAAATAAACAAGGAGAGAAATGAATTACAGTAAATGGGGTAGAGAGAGAAGATGGGAGGGGAAGGGAGGGGGGATAGTAGAGGATAGGAAAGGTAACAGAATACAACAGTTACTAATAGGGCATTATGTAAAAATGTGGATGTGTAACTGATGTGATTCTGCAATCTGTATTTGGGGTAAAATTGGGAGTTCATAACCAACTTGAATCTAATGTATGAAACATGATATGTCAAGAGCTTTGTAATGTTTTGAACAACCAATAAAAAAAAAGAAAAAAAAATAAAAGTTTTCTGTCCATCTACAACAAAAAACAATTTTTTTAAAAAAAGAAAGATAAAATTTTGCCCCTATGAAGTAGGAATGGTATATGGAAATTAAGGAAGGTGATGCTTGATTTTTGTTTTGTTTTCTGTTTTTTGCAACAAACACATAAAACTACTATTTGAATCTTTAAAACATGAGGATGTACAACAACAGAAAAAAAGAGGATACATTAATAGTATACACACAAAATAAGTATATATTGTCTTATCTACTAATAAGGAAAAAAAATCATTCTACTAATTAATACCAACTGGTAAAGCCTAATGAAATTCAATGTGTAGCACTATAAAGCAAAGCATACACAAATCTTTGATCATAGATTTGTATAAAATGTGCTGTGAAAAATGAAATGATTATTAATAAACCAAGAAGAAATATTTTCCTAGTCCAAATATGTCCTATTTATTCTGGCTTTTCCATGTTACTTTAAAATTGTTCGTTTTAAATCATTTTAAACATCATTATAGCTAATGCTCCAATGGCAATCAATAAATGATTTAAATTATTTTTCTTTTGTCATGTATTCATTTCTTTATAAAACAGAATATGAACAATAGCCCTGATGGTCAAAACTGTGCTTTGCCTTCACTCCACATTATGTCCTTAAGCCCTTGATTGTATGCAGTATTAGTACACTGGCAAGTTAATAAAAATTTTCTCATTCCTGTTTAGCTCTCTATTTATCCTTTATCAATATTATCAATCTTTGATATCAAAAACAACAAATATTCATAAATAAAAAGTTTGCTTTCTTGGGTGATCCTGATAAGCAAATTACACGAACAAAGGTTAATGTGAAGTACAAAGCAAAATTCACATAATTCACTATGCTTTACAGTAAGTTTATCTGTGCTTTCACTAATAGGAAAAAAGCTTATTTAAAATAACAAGAAAGAAACCAACTTACCTTTTTGCACTCATCTGTTCTTTTAGTTTACTATACATTTCCAGCACTGCATTCAAAAAATAACATTTTAGCATTTAAAATGGAAAAAAAGAGCATTTTGAGAGATTAAAATAATTAAAACAGGCAATGATATATTACAAAATCATAGTCTTCACTACATTGAATTAGCTTAATATTTTCTGATAAATATTATATGTTTCAAAGTAAATAAAAATATTTTAATTTTCACATGTTGAATATTTTATAGATAGGTAGATATTGAACATTTTATATATATATTTTTTGAACCTGGAACATTTGCATATGTTGATACCTATAATTGAGACATTAACCTAGTAAAAATTATACTATTCAGAAATTTCTAATATTTTTTCCATGAACTGGAATTAGAAGTTTGGACTTTAGTTATTTGAGAATTAAATTTTCTTTCTCAACTGATTCTGTCCCAACATACCAAACAAAAAACACAACTGTGTTATAATTAACCAAACACAAAAACTTACACCAAATCTACAAAGAAAAATATCAAAAGTTTACTGCAAAGAGTGATTTACAATAAAGCTAGAAATAAACATAGCATATTGTATGCATATATAAATAAGTAACAAATTCCATCATTATATACAACTATAATGCACCAATAAATGAGATTGTGTAATTCTGGAGAAAAAAAGAAAAACATAGCAAAGCATCTTTATTCATTTTATTCTTTCTATTAAGGCACAGAAATGCAGTTATTCAATAAAATTGTCATAAGCTTCACCAAAATGACCTACTATCACCAAGAAGGCTTTACTGCAACCATGTAAATGACCATTTAACCTTAGTAGAATTTGAAAGTGAGTCAGTAAATCATTATTGGCTCATCAAACCAACTCATATTTTCCTAGAACTAGACAACAGTTTTCTTTTCAGATTTGCTATAGTTATATGGCTATTCTCAGGGGTCTACAAATTTACTAAAGAAATTATTTACTTGTCCAAAAAACATCAGACCTGCAATGGTGGCTAAAGTGAGCTGCCCTAACTCTGTGACCTCAAAGGACCCTCTGCATTTCTATCATAGCCCCTATAGGCAATATAATAATTCTCACATTTTCCAGCCAAAGTATTGGAATGAACACATAACATGGGACAGATCCTGCTGCAATAGTATAAACTGGTTTTGAAGTCTCCTGTTTTACCTCAATAATTCATACAAATTTCAGATCTATCTCATTATTTCTACCTTGTTTCCATATAAAAATTATGCTTTCTTCAAAAATAATCAAATAAAACTAATCCACCAAGAAAATGCATTATTTCTGCTATGAATTCTTATATCCTCTCACACTCTTCCAAAACCAAGGAGTCGTTAGGCAACTGTATTATAATTGATGACTTAATTGTCTTTATTCACATTAGATTATAGGATCATTCTAAAGCTGGGACTATGTCATTTTCAACTTTATATCTCCAATACCTACCATAATGCCTGACACACATACAAAAAAGTAAGTATCATTTATCATTGGATACTTAGAAGGATGGACAGAGGAAAGGAGGTACTGTATTTCACTACATAATTGTTGCACTCTATTTTTTCAGTCCAAAAATTGGTTAATAATCATTCACAGCACAATCATTGTATAGACTAATTCTGTTTATTATGCTGCTTAAAAGGTAAATGTAATAGCAATGTATTCACCAGTGGCATATGGATGTGCCATTTGTTTTTGCCCACACTAAAAGCCAAGAGCCTAGAATTCTCAGTACTTGTTCACTGTCAGTATATTTCAGAAAGCTGACTTGAGCAATTGGCTTAGAATGCTATAGTACTGATGTATTATCAATACATTTTACATGAGAAGCACTGAGGACAATGTGTCAGATAACAAAATCAATGATAGCAAGCACAGAATCTTCAGATCAGATGATTAGATTTTGTCAGTTTACACTTCACAACACTGTAGTAAATTTTCTCAAGTGTAGTATGCACAAATTAATAACAATAAGTTAACTTCTTTATAAAGACCAGAAAATGTTCACTAAGCTGGCTAAACTGTCATGAAGAAATAATGTACATCAATTTGTACTATTCAATTTTAACATATATTCTCAAGTAGTTTGTGAAACTTACTCTTGGACCAAAGATAGGTTAGTAATAAATGATTTGTAAGTAATACCAGCAAAATTTATTATTTTAAAAAGCTTCACATAATGGTCACACCCCACTGTTTTGAAAAAAAGTTGGCATAAAATCTGCAACAATTATACAATGAAATGTGGTCATGCTGGATGTTGCAATTCAGAACACAATATTTACATGAACTTACACATGCTCTCTGGCCTTAAGAGCAGACAGTGACAATAACAACAACTTGACCTCTACTTTGAAGTCTTTATTTCTCTTATGAATATCTCACCTACAGAAAAAGCTGAGTTTAGCTCTTTCTCATTCCATCAATACCAATTTTTAGGCTTATTATCTAAATTAAAAAGGGACAAAGTATAAATCTTGGGAGGCTGTCTTCATGGCTGTTATGATATATCAGCCAAACATATATTAAACATCATCATAAAGAAATATGTTTCTCAATCCTGAAACCTAATATTATAAGTAGGTATTTTATTTACTCAAAGTTTATGCGTAAATATCGCTGGCCCATCAAAGATTAAACTTAGTAGGCTATCACTGATTCTAAAAAAAGAAAAGCTATTTCTTTAGCCAATAAAATCTGCTGACAGTTTTAACAATATAATTTGTATTCTAAGTTAAATTTACACCATATAAATATTATACAAAACATTCTATTCCCCTGGATGCATAGGTTTAGGTTCCTTCCTAAAAATTAATAAGTAAGTCAAATGAGACAATGAGACAACTTTAGCTTACAATATTAAGAAAAAAATGGCATATACCTGCTTCCTTTTGTTTGAACAGGATGCTTCCAACTTAAAGTTATATTAAGTCCAGGTAAAGAAAATACTGATTAGTTTCTTCAGAATTTATGTGATGTCCCAGTAATATCTGAGCCCTAACAGAGAGACCAGAAACTAAGTCTTTCCAAAATATAGGAGAAAAAGCAAGAAGGGAAACGTCCTAACACTTTTGATGTTTTCTTTCCTTATCAGCAAAATGAGATTGTGAGCAAAACAAAACCAACCTGTTATGTGACAAACAGAAAATGATGGAAAACTAGAAGTAGGAAAATTAGGCAAATTAGGCAAAGATGAGAAAAAGTAATGGGCACTCTCTGCATGGGAAAGTATTCTGAGAGGGGAAAAAACATGGACAGGGCAGGGGGCTGGAGTGGACAGATGGCAAAGTAGGCAGAGAGGAAATGCAAAACTAACAGTTGTTCTAGGAGACTACTATAACAGATAATCAAACAAGGGCCTTATTATAAAAAAGAAAACCATGGAAATTCATGAAATTGAGTGAATAAGAGAGGTAATCAAAAGCTTTTTTGCAAGGCAATCACCAAATAATCAAATTCCCATAATAAAGAATGACTATATGCTATTATGAAATTTGCCTATAATATAATGTTTGACTTGGTAAAATTAAACTCACCTGGAAGGCATAACTGCAATTTTTCTACTACAGTTGTAATATTCCTCTGCTGAATTCTACATCGAATAATATCTTCTGTTTGGACTATCACCTTAGAAAAAAGAAATATACACATCTTTTTAAAAAACAATTAAATAACACCCACATATATTTTAAAAAATTATCATTTTCTTACCTCTTTTCCAGCATCTTGAAATCTTCGATTGGTATCAGTAACTTGTACCTTAAAAATAATTTCACCTTAGTTAGACAAATATGCATAAAACTGCCCTGATGTAACTGCTCACCCTTGTAATCAGATCATGCTTCATGAGAAACTTAGAACAAAGAAATGCAAATTCAAATTAACTCTACAGCTTGAACTTGAACTTTTGATTGAAAAGGGCTTTTGTTAACTTCAATTACTTATGACAGTTCTTTTTAACAGATTCTGTGGCAAACTTCTCAAATTTACTCAGGATTTTTGAACTTTACTTGCTTCTCTAAGTCTGTCAAACAATTCAAATCACTGACCCAATTGACCACTGGTCCCTTTTTGATAACTTCAATGAGGTCTATGTGCCATTCACTGTCTGTAGGAAATAGTGATTGCATTTTATGGTAATTAAACATTCATACTTTGCTGAATGCAAACACTGGGTGGTTGATTAACATCAAACACGGAAATCTCAATCCACAGCAACATTTTAATGCTGCAGGTGCAGGCAAAGCTCAACCTCAAATTTTCCCACATATTAAGTGACTCATTAGGTCATCATAGTAAGGAAGCACATTCTGGTTTATTAAAAATCTCATTAATTTCTGAACAAAGATGCTCAGTGACCTCATTGATGTTGTATTTGGTCTCTTGTTATCTGAATATCCTTTATATATAATACATAATAGTTTTCTAATCATAATCTTTGAATTGTCTGCTAAGCACTCTAAATACAAAGATAAATAGGACAATTCTTATAACTAAATATTTTATATTCTTACTGAAAAAATCCAGGTTTCATTTAATATATAATATTTTTACTATATGACAGAAAATGTAGACCATCTTCCTTTAAAAAATTATAAACTGCTGTTAAATTATTTCAAATTTACAGTATAATTAAATAATTTTGAGAACAAAATCATTTATAGTAAATTTTAAACAATTTTAGGATGTTTTTAAATCAACATTGTATTAATTATCATTTTAAAAATTCTAAAACTGCAAACAGGACCTTACACTGTATGAATGTTTTGAATTCACTTCCCTGGGTGGAAAAAAATCCTATTAAGTCAATGTACTACTTGCTTTAGAAAAAAAGAGATTACTCCTGTCATTAGCATGACAACCGAGTTAACAGCCATAAAGAGCATTCCCAAATACATATACTAATTCAGTTCCTGAAAGCGCATTTAATAGTAACTTACAGATATGTACTATAATAGTTGAGTAATTTAATAAGAACAAAGGAAAACAAAATTTTAACATATTTCCTACCTTCAGTTTTTCTGCATCAGTCCTTACTTTAAGGAGTTCTGTAATAGCATCTACAAAACCCTGATGATGAAAATTACACATTTTTTCAATTTCCTTGTCATGATTTCGGATACAAGCATCTAACTTTTCCATAAACTTCTTGTGTGAATTTGGTTGATCATCATACACTGACCTGTATATATATAAGAAAACTAAAATTAACTTCCCAGTTCACCAAAATTTATTCTTTATAAGTCCAATTTTTATAACAACTAGAGATTAAGTCTGAACAAATAAGATGGTATTGTCTTCAATAGAAATAATTTTGGTGAAAATATTTCACTTCTTTTTGAACATGGTAATATTAAAAAACCAAAAACCCTCAAAATATATCACTAGTTATCCACAAGAAGAGATCTGAGGCTCAGAAGATAAGTGCCAAATACAAGTCTTATACTAGTGCTCAAAAAAAAAAAAGCAGCAGGGCTAGGGCTGTAGCTCAGTGGCAGAGCATTTGCCTAGTGTGTGTGAGGCACTGGGTTCAACCCTCAGCACCACATAAAAAGTAATTAATTAATTAAAAAAGGAATCTACATGTGAATAAGGAATGAAGGAACAAACTCATGGTATCTATGGCATTTACTATGTGTCAGCCATGTTCTAAGTACTTTGTATATTAACTCTTTCATCCTCACAACAATCCCATAAAGTAGGTATTATTATTATTATTAATCTTGTTTTGCTTGATGTGTTACAGATTGTGTAACTGCTGTAAACTCAACAATTTGCAAATGATAGCTAGGATATAAATGCTGGCAATCTAGCTCCACTGTTCATATTCTCAAGTACAAGGTCATATTGTAGTCACTACAATATTCTCTAAAGATGGCATCACATGCCTGATGTATCTCAGTTCATACTCATTGCCACTTAGAGGACATCCTCCCCACCATTCACCATGTGGTAAAGAACTAACCTTGGCCCTGGCTCCTGAAATGGAAGCCTTTGGTACTCTCTGCCTCTTGGAGGCCTTAACAGTGTGATTTATTGGGAGGAGCTTCATCCTTTTAGCTTTCTAAGGTGCTGAAGACTTAGGTTAGCAATATAGGCAGTCAGCAACATGGATGTCAGTCATGTCTACCTGGGTGGTTAGTCATGTTCACACAACCATACCCTAATAAAACACCTAGACTTCAAGGCTTAAGTGAACTTCTCTGATCAGCCATTCTCTGAGTATTGCCACATATCACTGCTGGGAAAGGTGCTGTCCACACACTTCCACTGGGAAAAGACAATTGAAAGTTCATACCTGGCACTCTCTTACACTTTGCCCTATGTGCCTTTTCTTTCTCTGTAATTTATGTGTGTGTGTGTGTGTGTGTGTGTGTGTGTGTATATATACATATATATATATATATATATATATATATATATATCTTTGCTATATTCTGTGAATCATTCTTGTAAATTTTGAACCTGAGGGTAGATCTGGGGATATTCTAAAGTGTATTTTCCCATCTGTTGCCCATTATTCGGGGTTCAGTGCAAGTTCCATGTTCTCCAACAGACCTCTGCCTATCGTTTCTATGCAAAGTAATCCTTTCATCTGCAAGACAGGTAAATTTATAGTCCTTCACAGCTATTCTGACAGGTAACCATGTATAACTTTGTATCTAACTTAAATGCTTTATGGGTATGTCACATATTTTGTTTCCCCAAATAGATCATAAGCTTCTTGAGGGCAGCCTCCATAACTCAGGTTTTAATGAGTACTAACTATAATACTAGAAACACCAATACAGGATAGTAATCATGAAGAATTTAGACTCTTTAAGATGAGCTAGAATGAAGCTCGAACTTGAACACTCTCTCCTTTATACCTACATTTTTCTTTTGCTCTAATCTTGATGTATAGCATTAAATTCCATAAACATATTAACATCTCCCAAATTTATATATCTAAACTTGACCTCTCTCAAACTTCCAACTCAAGTCTCTCCAAACAGATATCTGATGAGCATCTCAACTATGTTAAAAATGAATTCCCAAACTTCCTTCCCCAAATCTGTTTTTCCCGTAGTCTTCCTCATTCAGCAAATTCCATTCTTCTGACTGCTAAGAAAAAGAAGAAAAAAAAAAAAACTTTGAAATCATCCGTGACTAATCTCTTTCTCTCGCCCTCTTCCCCCTATTAATCTAGCAAACCTAACCACACCTTTCTACCTCCACTGGGTATCACCCTGGACTAAGCCAACAACTTTTCTCACCTAGGTTATCGTTAATTGCTTTCTAGCTGGTCTCCATGATCCTACCCTTGCTCCCCTTCAGTATGTTCTCAACAGAGTAATCAGATGATGTCTAGCAGAAATCATAAGTTAAACTTTACATAAGTAAAATTCCATGTCTCTCTTCTGCTCAAAACCCTTTTTTCTCTTACAATAATCCTTAAGGCCCTACATAATTTTGCTGCATGTTACTTCACTGGCCTCACATACTTCTAATTATTTCCATTTCACTTATTCCATGTCAGCAACATTGGACTCCTTTTGGTGTCTTAAACACATCAGGCATGTTCTTGTCCTCATCTTTGCAAATGCTGTTTCCTTTGTCTGGATCACATTTCTTGTATGTGCTTATCTCCTTCACTCCATTTAAGTCTTTATCCTCTTTTTGAGATGGCTACAACATCTACATTACACACACACACACACACACACACACACACACAATCCCCTTCTCTTTTTTTTTAATCTTTTTTTTTTCTAAAATAAAGGAATTTATTTGGTAATGGTCTTACCACTACAGGATATATTGTTTCACATTTTTATCTAATTATCTGTCTTCCCCATAGAATGCAAATTGCATGAAGACATAGATTTTATATAGTTTCTTCTGTTGAGTCCCAGCCCCTGAAGGCACAGATTTTTTTGTCTGTTTTATTCCCTGTTGTATCCCTAGCTCTAGAACAGTATCAATCTTATCATATAACAGATATTCAATAAATAATTGATACACGAGTTGCATAAATGGAATCAGAAAGCATATTTACTATATTCAACTTCAGGTAAGGCGTCTGACTTCTTTAAATATAAATTTTCTCAATCATAAGATAAGAATAAAAATAGTACCTATAGCAAAATGAACAAGAATTTAAAGTTAAAAACATAATACTATTAGATTAGGGTTATAGTTCAGTGGTAGAGAGCTTGCCTGGCATGTACAAGGCCTGGGGTTCAATCCTCAGCAACACACACACACACACACACACACACAAATTAGCATCCCCCAAAATGAAATACATAGATATAAATTTTTTAAAATACTTAAAAATCTATGTGAAGAAAATGACTGATTAAAAAATCAAGAACTATATAAACAAAAAGATATTTCATGTTTAAGAATGAGACAACAATATTGTTACAATGTCATTTCTTCCCAAATTGATCTATAGACTCAATGCAATCCCAATGAAAATTCCAGCAAACTATTTTATAGATATCAACAAACTAATCTTTAAGTTTATAGAGAGCAGCAAAAATACCCAGAATAGCCAACACAATATTGAAGGAGAAGAACAAAGTGCCGACAACTCGAATTCAAATTTACTATTAAGCTATAGTAATCAAGACGTGTGGTACTAGTGAAATGGCAGAAAAATGGATCAATGGAACTGAATAGACAGCCCAGAACCACATTATTACAGTCAAACACATTTTTTTGTTTGTTTGTTTGCAATGCTGGGAATTAAACTTGGGGCCTCACACATGCTAGGTAAGCACTCTCCCACTGAGTTACACATCCAGCCCAAGTCAACTGAATGTCAACAAATGACCAACATAATAAAAAGGAGAAAAGATAGGCTTTTCAACAAATGGTGCTAGTAACTCACATGCCAGACAGTGGATTTAAACACAGACCTTACACTTTTTATGAAAATTAACTCAAAATGGATCACAGACTTAAATGTAAAATTAAAAATTAAAAAACTCTTAGAAGATAACATAAGAGAAAATCTAGATGACCTTGAGTTTGACAATGACTTTTTAGAAGTAACATTAAAGGTACAATTCATGAAAGAAAGAATTGATAAACTGGATGCTACTAAAATAAAAAATTCCTACTCTGTGAAAGATACTGTGAAGAGAACAAAATGAGAAGCTATACACTGAGAAAAAATATTTTCAAAAACATATCTGAAAAAAGACTAATATGCAAAATATACAAAGAATTCTTTTTTAATTTTTATTTTCAAAGAATTCTTAAAACTCAACATAAGAAAATAACTTAATTTTAAAATGGGTCAAAGACCTTAACAGATACCTCTTTTTAAAAAAATATACAGGGGCCGGGGTTGTAGCTCAGAGGTAGTGCGCTTGCCTAGCATGCGTGACGCACTGGGTTCGATTCTCAGCACCACATACAAATAAGTAAAGGTCCATCAACAACTAAAAAATATTTTAAAAGTATATACATACATATATACACACACACACACACACACACACACACATACATACATACAGATGGCAAATAACATAAAAAAAGAAGATGTCTCATATCATTTGCTACCAGGGAAATGTAAGCAACAATGGCACACCAGTACACAACTATTAGAGTGGCTGAAATCTAGAAAATTGAGAAAACTGAATGTTAGTGAGGATATGGAACACCAGGAAATCTCATTCATTAATGACAGGAATTAATGACAGGAATGCAAAATGGTACAGCCACTTTGAAAGACAGGTTGGCAGTTTCTTACAAAACCAAACACATGAAAAAAAAATGTTTTTTAAATATTCTTACAACATGATCCAACAATCATACTTCTTGGTATTTGTCCAAAGGAGCTGAAAATTATATTCACACAAAACCTCTACATAAACTTCACAACAGTTAATTCATAACTGCCAAAACTGGGAAGTAACCAAATGTCCCTGAGTAGGTAAATGGACAAATAAACTGGTTCACCCAGACAACTAACTATTAGTTGGCACTAAAAACAAATAAGCTATCAAGCCACAAAAACAAATGAAGGAAACTTAAATGCATATTACTGAGTGAAAGAAAGCAATCTGAAAAGACTACATACAATACAATTCCAACTATGGACAGTCTGGAAAAGGCAAAACAATAGAAGCTGTAAAAAGATAAATGGGAAGGAAGGAAGGAATGGTAGAGTACAGAAGATTTTTA